GAGAAAGGATCGTTATAGAGAAGTTGGAGACGAGCGTGGAAATATAAGGGATGAGATTCAAGAACGGGCTTATGAAGAAGAAAGGATTGAGGAAGATGAGAACCAGAGTTAACAGTTGAAAAGTGGGAACCCAGTTCAGTCGTGACCGTCACTGGATCCGCCACAAGAGTACCATGAAGGTGAAGGACTGGCGAAACATCAGTAGCAAACTTACCCGCTATCTTGTGGATTTTCTTCCAGATCTGCAGCAGAAGAGTATCGGAAGTAAAGGTGGAGACATCAGATATCGAACTCTCATGGTTAGCTGTGCAAATGGTCCTACGGGCCACCGCACTCGCCTTCCGAAACAAAATAAAAGAATCAGCCGTCTGCTGGCATCGGTGTTTCTTCCAGGCTGCACGCTTACAGCGCACAGCCCGAGCACTGTCCGCATTCCACCAGGGAACACACTTATACGTGCCCCGGGAGGTAGAGTGAGGAATAGAGCTGAGGGCAGCATCAAAGGCGGTGTCATGAAAAAGAAGGAGGGCACAAGGGAGAGGCAGAGTGGAGAGGTTGGAGAGAGTACCATTGTGGGTGAATAGGTTCCGGTCAGCCTTGGCAAACTGCCACCTATTGCAGGAGAGGGGAGGGTGAAAAGAGAAAAAGGTAACAAGGATAGAGAAATGGTCACTTATGGAGGTCATCAAGAACCCGCCACGTGAAATCTAAGTAAAGAAAGAGGCCCTTCGAGAAGGCAGCCCTGAGTGTTTGTCAGAATATCACCTCAGAGTGTATGCTGACAGTTGAAATCACCCAACAGGAGCACAGGCTCTGGTAAGGAGTCCAATAGGCGCTAAACTCCCAAACTGCTCTGGGATATTTGGTCTTTGTCACCCACAGGTGTAATTACCTAAGTGTAATTGCCTAAGTGTAGTTACAGGATGAGAGCTACGCTCGTGGTGTCCTGTCTTCCCAGCACTCTTTGTCATATAACGCTTTGAAACTACTGACGGTCTTGGCCTCCACCACCTTCTCACTTAACTTGTTCCAACCGTCTACCACTCTACAGTATTTGCGAAGATGAATTTTCTTATATTTCTTCGGCATCTGTGTTTAGCTAGTTTAAATCTATGACCTCTTGTTCTTGAAGTGCCAGGTCTCAGGAAATCTTCCCTGTCGATTTTATCAATTCCTGTTACTATTTTGTATGTAGTGATCATATCACCTCTTTTTCTTCTGTCTTCTAATTTTCGCATGTTTAATGCTTCTAACCTCTCCTCGTAGCTCTTACCCTTCAGTTCTGGGAGCCACTTAGTAGCATGTCTTTGCACCTTTTCCAGTTTGTTGATGTGCTTCTTAAGATATGGGCACCACACAACAGCTGCATATTCTAGCTTTGGCCTAACAAAAGTCATGAACAATTTCTTTTGTACATTGCCATCCATGTATTGAAATGCAATTCTGAAGTTAGAAAGCATAGCATAGGCTCCTTGCACAATATTCTTTATGTGGTCCTCAGGTGATAGTTTTCTATCTAGAACCACCCCTAGATCTCTTTCTTTATCAGAATTCTTTAAAGATTTCTCACATAATATATAGGTTGTGTGGGGTCTATGTTCTCCTATTTCCATAACATGACATTTATTAACATTAAATTCCATTTGCCAAGTGGTGCTCCATATACTTATTTTGTCCAGGTCTTCTTGAGGGGCATGACAATCATCTAAATTTCTTATCCTTCCTATTATCTTAGCATCATCAGCAAACATGTTCATATAATTCTGTATATGTGTGTGTGCAATTACCTAAGTGTAATTACAGGTACCTAAGTGTAGTTACAGGATGAGAGCTACGCTCGTGGTGTCCCATCTTCCCAGCACTCTGTCATATAACGCTTTGAAACTACTGACGGTCTTGGCCTCCACCACCTTCTCACTTGACTTGTTCCAACTGTCTACCACTCTATTTGCGAAGATGAATTTTCTTATATTTCTTCGGCATCTGTGTTTAGCTAGTTTAAATCTATGACCTCTTGTTCTTGAAGTGCCAGGTCTCAGGAAATCTTCCCTGTCGATTTTATCAATTCCTGTTACTATTTTGTATGTAGTGATCATATCGCCTCTTTTTCTTCTGTCTTCTAGTTTTGGCATGTTTAATGCTTCTAACCTCTCCTCGTAGCTCTTACCCTTGAGTGTGCGTGCGTGCGTAAGTGGTATTATTTACCCATGATAGTATTACAGAAGAGCCTGACTGTGATAAAGACTTCGTACAATGTTCATATATAAGTGAACACAATGCTGTGCAAAATGTTCACAGCGCTAGCCACAGCACACTGCCATTGTTTCATCCATCTAAGAATCTTCAAACGACTTCTCATGTTCTTTTACAAAATAAACTTGTGAAAATTATTCATTTACAGGATTTAGTGACCAGGATTCTGATAATAGCCGCATTGTGGTGAGAATTAGTGATGTGCATAATATGGTGGGAGGAGTAATCTTGGTGAGGTAGGGCGGCGGCGGCGGCATCGTCTGCTGACTGTGTGGCAACCTGTTATTGTATTGACTCACCATTCCAGCTTAGTGGTTTGCCATGGTGGACACAAATGTAGATACTTTCATATAATGTGTGTATATAGTGAAATAACAGCAAAAGATGTTGGGTGGAACCATTTTGGTGAGGGAGGTGACGTCGTCTTCTGGCTGCTGTCTCTCTTCATACAATTTTGTTGTTGCCACTGTCGTTTGGACACCATACCATCTTAGTTGAACAGTTATGGTATATAAAGCATGTAGATATTTATATAATGTGTGTGTATGTAGTGTAAAAACAGCACAAACAGTATAGTGGGAGGAGGAATCTTGGGGAGTGAGGGAGGGAGCATCAGCTGATTGTGTGGCGACCTCAATTATTGTCTTGACTCACAATACCAGCTTAGTGGTTCGCTATGGTGAACATAAATGTAGATACTTATATATAATGTGCATATATAATGAAATAACAGCAAAAGGAGTATGTTGGGAGGAGCCATTTTGGTGTGGGAGGTGGCATCATCTGCTGGCTGCTATCTCGTCATACAATTTTGATGTGGCCACTATGTCGTTTGAACACCATACCAACTTAGTTGTACAGGTATGGTGAATAAAACGCGTAGATACTTATATATAATATGTGTGTATATAGTGTAAAAAAGCACCAATAGTATAGTGGGAGGAGAAATGTTGGAGAGTGAGGATGGGAGCATCAGCTGACTGTGTGGCGACCTCAATTAGTGTCTTGACTCAACATACCAGGTTAGTTGCACAGTTGGCTCACACATTATATTATATAGATATATCACACTACACACTATTGAATAATATTACTAAAAAAACTGAAAATATCAATCAGAGACACTGAAATAATTAGGTAGTATCATCTTTGTGGCAACTCCTGCCTGACAGCTTGGGCGGAGCAGACCTCTGACGCTTGCTCTGTCAATTTTGCCAGACTTCCCTCCCTATTGCAGCCAAAATATGCCACCTACGATTTTTTATTATTTTTCCTGTGATCAAGGAACACAAATGAACACTTTTATAAGATTTTTTTTTTATTTAGATTTTTTATTTCTTGCACCTGGGCATGTTGCAGGATATAATTCGAAGAGCAGCCCAGGGATTAAATGAGGGTGAGGTGGGGTGAACGAGCTCACGCTAGTTTTGTGAATTTTAAAATGTTATTTTACATTGTTGGGGGTGTTGTTTTAATGGTTTTCAAGGTTGCTGTCCAGCTTATAACCAGCAGTGGCCTGTTTTGGTTCACTGGCTCACTGTTCATCTGGCTATTCAATTCATGGTGCTTCCATGTTGGTGGCAGACATGAATAAATTCATAGTAAATTTTATCATAGTAACACCAATCCTTGCACCTCTGTGAGGAGGCCAGGTTCTGGCTTGCAGTCCCCAGTAGGCTTAAAAGAACTCAGCAACTGATGGCACCTAGTAGTTTGGCATACTATCAGATATAGTAGCTTCGGGAAGCCACATGGGGCTCCCTCCCCATAAATATGATCAAAAGAAGCAAAAAGCACCAAACATTCCTTGATAAAAAGATTGTTTTTGTTTTACCGAGACATTCACTCATTAAATAAATTCAAAAGCTAGCTTCCAGTACAGATAAAATAAGCAAACAGTGGTAATGTAAGCTGTGTTGGTGATTAGATGGTACTTATGTGTAATATGGATGTTCAATGGCTCAAAAGTATCTGTAGATGCAGGGAAGTAATGATACACTAGATAGGTAAAATTGTGATAAAAAGTGGTGACACACTAGCAGCAATGCAGTGCTGATAAGGTGGTGACAGAAAATCATGGGTAGACAATAGCAATTAAAATCAAACGATGAGTATTGGATGAATTCTATTGTTAAATATGACATTAAGGTAGACAATATTGGTGTGATGTTATATATATAATGTACTGGTCCAGGTGAACAATGGTGCTCAATAGGTAGTAAGCTGGTGAGCCACAGCAAAGAAGAGTCAAAACAAAATTATGGTGGTTTAGGAAATTGTAGCAAGAATAATTGTAAATTTTGTATGCCCTGACCATTCTCAGCGATTTGAAAATTAGTATTACCAGAGGGCCCATCTGCTTGTATTTTGCTCATATTTGCTTATGATTATGTTTTTGTATATGCATACAGACAAGCATGATTCTAGTTTACTAAATAATGTACTGTAATGAAGACAATGCCTCTACATTTGGGTGAAAAGAGTAATGATGATTATAAAATGTGTGGCAGTGTGGACTTTGTAAAATCCCTGGCAGGCACTGATGACAAGGTTAATAAAGTACAAAGTAGTAATACAATTGTGAAAAAATATTAATATTATATTATGTATAAGATTGTAAAGATGATTGAATACGTGCATGGATAACAGTGCATGTGTGTAGATAAATCAACACAGCAGGCAGAAAAAGGAGTGAAGGGTAGTGGTTTCAGTGGTGTATGGTTTGAGCTGCGTTGTCAGGAACTCACAGACAACGATTCCATCTCGTCCAGCGACTCTAGTCTAGCGATGGGTGCTTCGGTGAGAGATCGGAAGTCGCCCCAAGATTCAGGCTCAGATCCCCTGGAGTCCTCCCGACGGGGTGCCCAGGGATCATGGGCTGCACCTTGCAGGGGTGAGCGGCACTTACGACGCCACCGGGCCTGCAGCAGCACCACATCCGCCATGACCCACGTTAGTCACAGATACAAGTTCGAATCCAGCACACACTTCATGTCAACAATCCAAGCTCGTGCACTTTATAACATTATGTCTGGCATTAGCTCTGACACTTTGTTACATGTAATGCTGTGACCCAGGCATGGCTATTATGCTATGTTGCATGTTATTGTAAATCATTTATGGCATCCATGATGGGATTCATGGCCACAAAAGCTAAAGATGGTTTTCATGCTGTGTTATATTACATAGAAAGATCGCATTAGCTGACAGCATGTGACATATCATTGAGAGCAAGTCATGGCTACTGTACTGTGACATGTTGAAATGTGAGCCACATACACATGTAACACTGGTCTACACTCTTTCCTATATCATACTAAAAAATCAGACACAACAACAGCAACAACTGCAATACAGTTGACTAACTGTCTTCCAATTCAGCATTACATGTAACACTGAGTCACACAATCTACATATTGTTACATGTAACACTTTGAGAAATATAGACTCCACATACTGCTACACATAACACTTAAATCTCACATTCTGCTCCATGTAACAATGAGTTACTCAACATACTGTTACAAAGTAACACTATGGATTACACACACATCCTATGTACTGTAGCAGTGAAATGCAAGTTTATCAAAGCTTACATACTGTAACCAGTAATATATTTTACAGAAACAGCTGGGTATTGCAGCTGTATTGTACTTGCAATTCAGTACTGCTGTATGACATACAAGGCTTTGCATGTTACATTGTGACACTGTGAAGGATTATGAGGTCACACTAGCAGAAAAAATTAACTTTTTTCTTTAAAATACACACATTCTTTTTTAAAATAGATTTTGAGAACAAAGCACAACAAATCACTCCAAGAATAAGTAAGAGCTATTCATTATATCTTAAAGTTAGGCAGATATGTCAAATCTAAATACAGTATTATTCCCTTGATGAAATGTAAACAGTTCAAGTGTGAACGGATTCACTCACTTGTAAGTAGCCTATACTATACAGACAAATACATTCATGTGTATTCTAAGATATTCTATCATGCATAAGATGATTACCATTACTAGTTAAAATATGCCAATAACAAAAATATATGCAAAATGTTAATACAGTACATAAATACTTACTCCTAAAAATGTCCAAATATATAACTAGGCACTGAATGTAATGAAACACCTCTTTCTGGATGAGCCAGCAGCTCCCTTAAGTTATCTTACTGACACTGCTCTATGCAATTTTTTATTTATTTATATACATTGTACAAGAGTTCTTACAGTCTTGTAAAGCCACTAGCACGCATTGTGTTTCAGGCAGGTCCTTAATCCTAATTTTCCCTGGCAAACGATCAGCCAAATCATTTAACAACCAGGTACCCATTCCCTGCTGGGTGAACAAAGGCATAAAGTTAAGGACTGGCGCCTAGTCAATCTTTCCCGGCGGGGATACGAACCTAGGCCAAATTGTTCGTGAAGCACAGAATGAGTGTTTTACGACTACGCCATAGGAACTGCAGTGGTCCCCGTGGCTCACATCCAACAGGAAGGTTTTGTTTGGCCTATCAGGTACCATAAACAAAACTTGGCCTAAATATTTAAGACACGTAACCACCACATAGTGAACAAAAAATCCTGAATGAATATACTGTATAAGCAAATTTATTTTCTAAAAGGTTTACGTTTATTTTTGTATTTTATTACACAATTCCATTCAATTTACATAAAATAATTAAAACCTCTCATTAACCCATTAACTATTACTGATTGATACTGGCATAGTCATATTTGTCTGCGTAGATTTCTGTGCTTTTATCATTTGTTGACACTTGTAATGATTTTTAAAAAATTCTTGAACTATGTTAAAGTTCTACAAACCTCCAAAATAAACTAATAGAAAAATGTCATTATAAAAATTGCAATTCTTTGTTACACAGATAAATTTTTATTTACACAACTATGGTTATCATAATATTTTCATTACAATAATAATGAGAGAAAAAACTTTCTAGCACATACCATCTGCTCATCACAACTTAACAAGGAAATAAGAAATGTGGTAGTCAACACAAGAGATGGTTGGTGACAGCAATAGGGATGGGTGATTTGGATATTTGATTTCTACTGAGCTCTAAGACAGTAAACCATTTCTTTGAGTAAATGAAAAGAGAGAGATAAGAGTGAAGGAACAAAATTTTTGAAAAAATATAGATTACATATACTGTATATGATATTTTGCTGAAGTCTTGATACAAAAGGACAACTGAACTATGTATGAGAAACAGAAATAGGCTCAGGATATGGAGCTGCTGATGGTGATGAAATTGACCTAATAACAGAGTACAGTGGAACCTCAATTAACGAGCGGCTCTATTAACGAGCGGCTCTATTAACGAGCATTTCCAGTAACAAGCAAGCCACTTGTAGCAAATTTGTCTCTATTGACGAGCTTCACTTCTATTAACGAGCTAAACCACATGGTGCTTCCTAGTGGCTCGCGGGTTCTCGCAAATTCTCGGACACCTCTGACGCCAATGTTGTTGTTGTATTGTGCACGACAAGCATCCCTCTGCATTTATTTGTGCTTTTCTTTGTTTGTTTTTTTGTGGTTTTGTGACTATAATTTGTAATGCATGATGTCACCAAAGAAGCTGCTTGCTAAAGATAGTGTTGTCAAGATGAAGAAAGACACAATTACTGTGGATTTGAAGAAAAATTATAGCAAAGCATGAGCGTGGTGTCTGTGTGACTGAACTCACAAGGGAGTATGGCAGGGGCCTCATCAACAATTTGCACCATTAGTAAGGGGACGAGGAGGTAAGGGAGGATGCTGCCTCTTCCAGTGAGATCAGAGAAGTGTTGGGAATGTTTGAAAAGGTGAATGCATTCTTTGGAAAAGCTGCCCTGATAAAGCAGTAACAACCCGGTGTGTGAACATGCTTAATGACAATTTGCCGTCTTGTTTTAGGAACATCCTAAAACAAAAACAAAAGCAATTGTCAATAGATACGTTCTTTTCAAAAGTAGAGAAAAGAAGAGCCAGTGATAGTGAACCACAACCCAGTTCCAGTGGGGTGAAATTCCCAAGGAGAGAGAGACTGCCTGACTCAGAGGTGGATTCTCCTTCCACACCATAACCCCTCTTCTCCTTCCCACTTCCCCATCGTCTCCCTCAAGCAAGCAATGACTCTTCATAAGGTAAAGTAAACATGAAAGCAGTACAACAAAACATTTATAATTACATGTGCAGTATTATAATTACATTATAAAATGTCATACAAGTATGGATGTTTCTGGGAGTGGAACGGATTAAATTTATTTCCTTTATTTTAAATGGGGAAATCCGTTTCTTAAGACGAGTTTTTCTGATAACGAGCTCGGTGCCAGAACGGATTAAACTCGTTAATAGAGGTTCCACTGTAATTGCTTTCTATGAAAAAAGAAGAGTTAAATGTAATGAAATGCCAATTTCTGAAGGAGACCCAGTGGCCCCTTGCAGCAATCTTCCTGAGACTGCTTCAAACTAAAAGATCACATCAGTTTCTGAAAGTTTTGTTTGGCATATCAGGGCCCAGAGCCTGAACCTTAACCGACAAAATACATCATGGACCGAGGGCAAAAACTAAAAGCCTATGAATACGGAATATAGGATACCAGGCAAGCCACTCCAAACTGCTGAGGGAAGGGCAAGAGAAAGCCAGCATGAATGAAAGAGGTGCCACCCACAGAAGAGGGCAAGCCTATGCCAACCAGAAGGAGAATTGCCGAAAAGACAAGAAACCTGCCATACGACATCCCAGAATGCTTACCTACACCCATAAAAATGACACCCCAGCCCAGACTGACTGCCATGGAAACGAGAATGAGGCCACGAGGACAGAAACCTCAAACAGGTGGAGAAGCCACAGACATGAAAGGAGGAACCACGAACCAACACTGCAGAAAGAGGTTGAAAAAAGTGGAGGGAGAGCTAGGGCCAACCCACAGCCAGATGACCAAGAATAAGGCCAACCCAGCCAGATGACCAAACAAAAGGCTTAACAATCCTTGGCTTACAAAGGGAATACTTAAATCCATTAACAAAAAACATGACCTTGAGAAGACGTATAGGTTAGGAACCGTCTCCAAAGAATTCTCAAAGAATTACTCGTTATTGCTATCTAAAATAATTAGATGAGCCAAAACTAAATACTATGAAGATAAATTTACCCAAATAAAGAGCAACATTAAAAAAAACTTGGAGCACAATTTCACAAATATTGGGATCAAAGAAGATTTTAAATAACAAACCAACACTCCTGTCCAATAACGATGGTCAGCTTTCAGCCTCTGATTCTGCTATTGAGTTCAATAGGTTCTTCTCTTTCATTGGGTCATCCCTTGCAAATGATATTCCATCTTCCAGTACTGATGTTAAGGACTATCTTACAGGTAACTATCCACAATCTCTGTACCTAAAGCCTACTAATTCCACTGATGTCAATGAGATAATCCTTTCCCTTAAAACCAAGTCTAGTGCCCTCGAGGAGATACCAACTTTAATTTACAAAAAAGCCTCCAGATCTTTAGCCCCTGCTATTGCATTGCTCTTCAACAAGTCACTTGAACTCCAAACCTTTCCAGACATTCTAAAAAAAGCAAGAGTAACCCCTGTCCACAAATGTGGTGATCTCACAGATGTTAACAACTACAGACCTATATCAATCCTGCCTAACTTGTCAAAAATATTTGAAAAAGTAATCTACAAGCAGCTTTACTCTTTTCTAGCCAAACACAATATACTTAGCTCTTGTCAATATGGCTTCAGACCCAAAAAAAGCACTAACGGTGCACTTATTAGTATGATTAACTTGATTCACGCAGCTCTTGATAAAAAGGAGTTCCCTGTTGGGTTATTTGTGGACCTGCATAAGGCTTTTGACACTGTCAACCACCAAAACCTTCTTCTTAAATTACATTATTATGGAGTCAGA